ATGTAATAAAGCAGGTGTCTGCAAACAAGCCCAACCTTTACAACCTTACACCGGTGTTTAAACATTAACAGCGAATCTTAAAAAAAAAAAAAAAAGCCGGACTCGTGTTAAGGGACCACTTTAACCCTGCTGCTATGCACTTCTCACCTTGTTGTTGCTAAACCTCGCTTGCTCCATCATTCAAACCACAGATAACACTGACAGCCTCGATGGGCTTGGCTCCACACTGTCAGCTAACATCACCGGGCTAACGCGGTTTAAAAATCACTCACCTTCGTACAAAATGTTCACAATTCCACGTGTTTAACGTCAGTCACGATGTCGTAACGTTAAAATTAAATGATAAACACTTTTTTTTTTTTTTTGCATGGCTTACCCTTTCAGCGAACGCACCAGTGTTGTTACTTCCTCATCCAAGCCTCCGTGGGCTGGACAGGAGCTTTACTAAGTGACATCAAAATCACGTTTCCGTTTTATCATTTAAGAAAATAAAAGACTTTTCGGATATAGTAAAACAAAAAAGTTAATTAAAACAATATAGGTCCCTGACATAGCTTCCTTGGCATACTTGAGATTTATTTGGCTATTTATTATTTATAGTTATTAGTTACTTATTATTTATTTTATTAAATATATTATTTATTTTTTAATTATTATTATTTATATAGTAATTATTATTATTATATTATTTATTTATTATATTATTTATTTATTAAATATTATTTATTTATAAATATTTCATCTTTTTAATTCATCCTTAATATCTATAGGACAATCAATCAATCAATCATCAATTTTTATTTGTATAGCGTCAACTTTCTGTTGAATTATATTTAATTATTTTTAGTATTTTGCATCTGTTATATTCTTACTGTTGTTTATGTTCTTTCTGTGTTTGGTTTAGTTTGCTTTGTTCTTGTTTTTGCTGTTTGTCAAAGCACTTTGTAAACCTGTGTTTTTAAAAGGTGCTACATAAATAAAGTTATTATTATTATTATTATTAACTCATAACAAGTGTTATCTCGAGACACTTTACAAAAAGCAGGTACAATACCTTAGTTATCAGTTTATATGTTACCTCCTGTCTTTTTTTTTCTTTATGAGGAACTAATCAACTATTATTTATAGAATAATAGCCACAGTTCAGTAGACAGTACTTTTCAGGATGGAGTTTCAGTAGACTGAACTTTCGTGGTCATTCAGTATGCATCTTTGGTGTCCACCTCAGTATACTGAACATTTCAGTATGGATACTAACTTCCGGGTTTTATACAGCATGGATCGGATGCATCCTTTCAGGAAATGAATTGTATTTTACCACCCACAATGCTGTGCGAAATTAAACGTAAATCGTCACGTCACGTGTCTGCATTATTATAAAACCTTTCTCCCTCTATTTAAATAATGATTTCACTATTTAAACGCGTCTTTATTGATTTATTTTTCTTTATATTCTGTATATTACTGTCTTTCATTTGTACTTGTCTTTATGAACTGTATGTTATTTAGTTATTTAATCTCTCTTTTACTGGATTTTTTTTTGTTTACCTGACTGTATATGTGCATTACTCTTCTTGAATAAAGCTACACAAAAAAATGTAATAATTTTTAATTTATTTCAGTGCACAATTTCAAATCACCCCTACAAAGGTTGAATTTTTCATCAGATTTCTTCATGAAAATATAAAGTAAAACAATAGTATAACTAAAGTTTGATTTTACAATATACTTTTTAAAGGAAAACTTTGAGCTCTTATTATTTTTAAATAATTATAGTTTCCTATCATTTCCTGATCGTTTACGGAAGCTTTGTGGACAGGTGGGTTGTGGACTCGGATGGATCGCCGTACACCAGCCAACGGCATCAGTCTGCTGCCACCTGCTGGTGATCTACGGCCGGTGTTTGTTGACTGCAACGCCGCTTAGCAATATAGTAGAGGAACAAACCCCGAAAAAAGGCTTTAGTGTTCGAGATACCCCTACCCGAGGTAGAACAAAGCACGACCATATTTTTTCATAACTTGAACAAGTCTAGTTTATGAAACGGATAGTTGTATAAAAATATTTTACTGCAAAATAACTTTTTTTTGGATGTTTTATACATTTTACCAAAAACGAAAATAGGTCAAATTAGGGCTTCTCCAAAAGGGACAGCTCTAGCCTTATCACATGTATCTCTGGGAATCGGAATCAGAAATTCACCAAATTTGGACAGGATGTTCACAGATAGTTATTAGTTACAATTATGCAAAATTAAGAGAATAAATTAACCCTCTCTCTCTCCCCCTCTCTCTCTCTCTCCCTCTCTCTGTGTCTCCTCAGCAGGAACATTTGAACGTGACTCAGAGCTTCTATCAGGCAGAGGAGAACCAGAACGTCACGCTGGAGTGGACCTTCACACCCCAAGATGACCCCTCACTTCACTCTCTTTTTATCTTATGTTTGATGGTCACTGATCATGACGTCTCCAGGCTGTTTGAACTGATCGGAGGAGTCGAGGTCTCAAGTCCACCATCTTACCTGTACACCCCCAGAAACAGATTGTATGTGTTCCATTACCGCTCACTGGACTTCAGTATCTTCTGAGTAGATTTATTAAGACTGGTCGATTACTGGGCAGCTCTTTCAGCTTAGCCCCCCCGCCGTGTCAGAAGGAGAGATACCGCAGGTCCTTCCGTCCTGCTGCAGTCAGACTGTTTAACCCAGTAGATCACAAAACACAAAGCGGACGATTCAGCCCTACCTCTTGTGCAATAATAATGTTATATTCTGTTATCTACCTGGTGCAATAACATGTTCCACTTTACGTGCATCAAAGTCTTCTTACTGAATATCCTGCATCCATTTTTGTTAAACCTGCGGCTCTCAGCTGATCTATAGCGACTGCATATTTTTTTATTCTATTGAACTGTGAACTGTGTGTTTCTCTTGTTGGTAATCTTTGCTCGTTGCTGCTTTAACACTGTACATTCCCTCGTTGTGGGATGAATAAAGGAGTATCTGATCTTATTTGTACTGCAGAGACTTGCAGTCAGGGGAGGCAGAGCCTCATCATCAAAAGTAAAAAACAAATAATGTGCACTAAATAAATAAAAATATATTATTCTACTGATCTGTGTTATAAATGTTATTTCTACGATTTCAAAAATTTCAATCATTTTCATGATCAAAATCGCTGAATTAGCATTTTTTTGTACTTCAAACTATTTTAAAAACACAATTTAGTATCGGGTTTTCATTTACAAATGACAAAGGAGGGTAAAAGAAGAGCTCTGTGTGTTTGGACTGAAACTAGAGAGGATTAAAGTGGTAAATTGTGGACCGCTGTCATGTTCCTGCTCCATGACAGAAGAGAAGTCTGTTAACAGATTCTTCACACATTCACTCACTAACGTATTAACAACGTTTCAACTGTCACATCACATAAATATGTTGGTGAAAATGTCTCTAAACGAAGGAACACTACATCAAATCCTCTAGCTGAAAAATAAATGTCAAAATAAAAAGTTCTCTAGCTCGATATAACACCACGTCTCGCCCCACTCATCATTATTTACACTCACGTATGAATACAAAATGTTTTAATATCAACCAGGTGACTTTACATGTGTTATTCTTTACTAAATCAGCTGATAACTCAGAGTTTATGTCCCCCTTTCTCTAAAATAAACGTCTGTAACCACTTCATTACAGCTATGAACACTGTTAGAAACTATTACAAATAAATATTATTTAAAAATAAAGATCCCTCTCGGGTAACACGGTGAATAATTACTCATCAGGTGTTTAAAGTCAGGTTCCTCTGATGACTCGTTTGAGCAGTTTGACGGAGAGAGATTGAACAGACACTCACACACATGGTTAATTTTGTACCGTTATGATGTCACAAATGTTTACATCACTGGTCATCAGATTGAGGCTCATACTTGCAGTTTTAAAGTATGGTTTTCATTTTTTTAAGACTTTAAATCGGTGAAGAACACGAGTTTTCCATTAACCTCCATTCATTCAGATGGAATGATTTCACCCAGAAAGGGGCGGGGCCAGCAAAGTACCCTCTCATGACAGGTGGGTTGTGGACTAATATATTATATTAATAGTAATAATAATTAATAGTAATAGTAATTAAATAGTAATATTTACAGTCTATGGTTGTGGACTAATATATTATATTAATAGTAATAATAATTAATAGTAATAGTAATTAAATAGTAATATTTACAGTCTATGGTTGTGGACTAATATATTATATTAATAGTAATAATAATTAATAGTAATAGTAATTAAATAGTAATATTTACAGTCTATGGTTGTGGACTAATATATTATATTAATAGTAATAATAATTAATAGTAATAGTAATTAAATAGTAATATTTACAGTCTATGGTTGTGGACTAATATATTATATTAATAGTAATAATAACTAATAGTAATAGTAATTAAATAGTAATATTTACAGTCTATGGTTGTGGACTAATATATTATATAAATAGTAATAATAATGAATAGTAATAGTAATTAAATATTTACAGTCTATGGTTGTGGACTAATATATTATATTAATAGTAATAATAATGAATAGTAATAGTAATTAAATATTTACAGTCTATGGTTGTGGACTAATATATTATATTAATAGTAATAATAATGAATAGTAATAGTAATTAAATATTTACAGTCTATGGTTGTGGACTAATATATTATATTAATAGTAATAATAATGAATAGTAATAGTAATTAAATATTTACAGTCTATGGTTGTGGACTCGGATGAATCGTAGTGCACCAACCACCTGCTGCCACCTGCTGGTGATCTACGGTGAATTGACTACCTTTGATCCATACAAATATTTACTATTTATTTTTGGGGATTAACGTCTCAACGATAATGTTTTGATTCAACATGACTTACATTTTTCGTTACTCAAATTAAAAAAATGATAATAATAATAATAATAATTTGAATGACAGTTACAATCAGTGACGTCATTCCACTTCCGCTAGCATTAGCGGCCGGTGTTTGTTGACTTGCAACGCCGCTTAGCACAACACTACAGGGGGATTCGTTACATTGTGTTCTACGGGAAATATGGCGACATCCAACTCATATAAACTCAGGTGCTCCATCCCGGGCCACGAAATGGACGTTCGGGGGCTCGCAGCGGCTGTTTTTCCGGAGGGAGCTTTCGTGTCAGTGTCCAGAGACCGAACCGGAAGAGTCTGGGTACCAAACTCAAGGTAGCTAGCATTAGCCTTCTACAAGACTTTGTAATTTGCTGTGTTTTTGCTTCGATTTATTTAGTTTTTTTAAAGTCACTACAATGTAAAGAGATTTGTTTTTGACACGCAGTTGTAGCCAGTAGGACAACAACCCTGTTTTAAGTTAACAACAAGTTGTATTTTCGTGCTTACTTTAGCAGCTAAGTTAGCTACATTTGCTAACGTGTACTCAAATCAGCTTTGTCATTTATTCAGCTGCAGCGCGCATGTTCCAGTGGTTGTGTATGAGTTAAAGTTCCCCTCATAACACCCACTTGTTCCCGCACATGTTGGCTGTTTATGAAGTGTTTCCTCTTCTTTCCTCAGCCCTGACAGAGGCTTCACAGAGATGCACTGTATGTCTGGCCACTCCAACTTTGTATCCTGTGTTTGCATGATTGCACCGAGTGAGACATATCCTCGAGGACTTATTGCCACAGGTGGAAATGATAATAACATTTGTGTTTTCACACTGGACCAACCTCAGCCCATTTTCATGCTCAAGGGTCACAAAAATACAGGTGAATGTATACATTATTTTCTTACTCATCATATTTGATCTGCTGTCATAGGGTTGGGAAATATATCGAGTTTTTAAGATGTATCGATATATTTTCGAAACAAGATATAGGGTAAGACAATATCGTTAATATCGATATAGTTTATGTTGCATTAAAATAATAAAATAGAATTACTTTAATGATCCCAAACTGGGAAATTGTGGCGTTACAGCAGCAGGTTATCCAAACCCACAATATGAGTAAAAAACACAAAGTTAGCAAATCTAAACATGATATAAGATTAAATACAAAGTAAATAAGCACTAAAAATATCAAAACTAAGAATGTGAATGAATGAACAACCAGGATTTAACTTAGCATTACTAGTCTTAAATAGGAAGATTAAATGTAAATGTGTAAAAACAGAGTTGTAAATGGTTGTAAATTAAATATGGAAGATTGAATGTAAATGTGCAAGAACAGAGTCGTAAATGGTTGTAAATTAAATATGAAAGATTCAATGTAAATGTGCAAAAAACAGAGTAGTAAATGGACAGTATTGACATAAGTTAAAGTGCATGAGTGTAGACATGTTATAAGCAGAAACTATACAATATAACGGCGAGTAGACAGACAAATGAAGTGAACATGAGTGCAGGGATAATTTGTAAATTTAACATGTACAGAACAGATTACAGTAAGGAGAGACGGATATTATCATGATGACAGTTCTCTGCTCGCATGAGGTGAGCTGTTGTAGAGAGTTATGGCCTTCGGTAAGAAAGATTTCTTGTATCTGTCCTTGTGACAGCGGAGTTGTATCAGTTACAGCGGTGTCAGGTCGCCTTTTTCTCATCTCACTGATGATGACTGACTGTCTCTCCCTCCTAACCCCGCTCCTCCTCTCTTTCTCTTTTATTGTATTTAAGGAACATTTTTACCTTTTAAATTCACAAACAGGTAGTTTATTTTTCCATGTGTTTTCACTGTTAATAAAATACATATTGATATATATCGAGTATCGCCATTCAGCTAAACAATATCGAGATAGGAGTTTTGGTCCATATCGCCCAGCCCTGTGCTGTATGCCATTATGTCATGCATCTCTTAAATCTTTCCTGTCCCAACTTACACATGCATGTATATTCTCCTCAGTTTGCACTCTGTCTTCTGGGAAGTTTGGGACACTTTTGAGTGGCTCCTGGGACACTACCGCCAAAGTCTGGCTCAATGAGAAGTGTATGATGACCTTAGAGGTAGGCTTAATGCTCTTTTCTGTTACAGGTTACTGTAATCTTTCTTAGGATCATTTTTCGTCAGACGTCAAAATTGCCATCCCAGACACTGAAAATGCAATTTTCAAATGCAAAAAGAAATTAGAACTTTTCCTGAATGCCTTAGTATTGATTCTATCTATGTTTCAGTGTTGACTTTAAAGATATAAATGTGTGGGGTGACACAGCAAAATCTGTGCTTATTTCTATGCTCCAGGGCCACTCTGCAGCAGTGTGGGCAGTGGTCATCTTACCTGAACAAGGTCTTATGCTGTCTGGATCAGCAGACAAGACCATCAAACTTTGGAAAGCTGGACGATGTGAGAAGACTTATACAGGTGAGAGTTTGAAGGTGATGCACGTCTGGTGATTGTTAGCAGTTCATATGCTTTCTTGGTTATGAGCCTATGATGGAGTAGGAGGGAAATCAGCAGTAATGGTAGTTTAAAACATTCAACAGCAAATAAAATAATATGATTTATTTTGTGAAAACTGAGTATTATGTCAGCTAGTAATATTACTTTATTAAACCCTTTATCATTCAAACACTTCAGATAAGATATGTTTATTGTCTCTACAAGTACAACGAAATATTGTTGGAGCAAGCCTATAGATGCCTAATATCAGAAATATACAAATACTAAAACCAAATATTCAAATAAGAAATACAATATAGTATACAATATACAATTAATTTGCAGGTGACAGGTGTAGAATAAATATATTGCACTTAGTTATGGGGGGGCTCTGAGTCCAGGCAGTGGGAGCTTCAGTGTGGTGCAGAGAGTCAGAAGGTGGAGAGGAAGGGACGGTGGGGCTTCGGGGGGAGGGGGGGTCTATTGGTCTTGTCTATTGGTCCTGGATCTTCAGGTTAAAACAACACTTTTTGTCCTTTAATTTCAGGGCATGAAGACTGTGTAAGAGGACTAGCAGTGATCAGCAACACTGAGTTCTTCTCTTGTAGCAACGACGCGAGTATCAGAAGGTGGCTGGTGACGGGTGAATGTGTACAGGTCTATTACAGCCACACCAACTACATCTACAGCCTGGCTGTCTTCCCAAATAACCAAGGTTTGTCCATCAATATTAATATTTAAAGTGAACAAGAGCTTTTCAAGGTCTAGGTAACAGACCGCTGCCGCTTGATTTATTTATTGAATCGGCATCCACAGTTTTTCCTGTAAGATGGTTGCTGGCTCACTCTGACTTCAGACTGATGCTTTTCCCCTAAGATTTTGTAAGCACAGGAGAGGACAGGACTTTGAGGATATGGAAGAAGGGAGAGTGCACTCAGACTATCCGCCTGCCTGCCCAGTCTGTCTGGTGCTGCTGCATTCTACCTAATGGTGATATAGCCATTGGAGCCAGGTAAAAGAACTGCAATCGGCATGCTAAGTTGTGGTCAATCCATAATCGTATAATGTATATATTCATTTTAAATATAAAAAACAAGTGAAACGACAAAGTGTGTTTATCTCCTCGCAGCTTTGATTTATGATATCATTATCTTATTCACAAATGGAGATACTGTAATCCGATAAGCAGAAATCAGAAGTAGCTTTTATGCAAACCTAGATGCTTCTCCTCTGCCCACAGTGATGGTATTATTCGCGTGTTTACTGAAGCTGAGGACCGCATGGCCAGCATAGAGGACCTGCAGGCCTTCGAGGATGAACTCTCTAAAGCCACTATTGACCCAAAGACTGGCGATCTAGGAGACATCAAACTGGAGGACCTTCCTGGGAGAGAACACCTTGATGAGCCTGGTTAGAAAATAGGCGGCCATTTATTTAATCTAGATGTTTAACAGCACATCCGAGATGGCGTCAGTATGTTTCTTATTTGTATTATTTCCTCCAGGAAATCGTGACGGACAGACGCGGCTGATTAAAGAGGACGACAAAGTGGAGGCGTATCAGTGGAGCGTCAGTGACGGCCGCTGGATGAAAATTGGCGATGTCGTTGGGGGCTCCAACCAACAAACCTCCAAGAGTGTGATGTATGAAGGAAAGGTAAGACCAGAAGCTTACTAACAAGGCAAATCATGCACACACACGGTAAAACATTTTCTTTAAGACTCCTTATCTCCCCACAGGAATACGACTACGTCTTCACCATCGATGTGAATGAGGGAGGGCCGTCCATGAAGCTGCCTTACAACGTGTCAGAGGACCCCTGGCTTACAGCCCATAACTTTTTGCAGAAGAATGATCTCAGCCCCATGTTTCTCGACCAGGTTGCCAATTTTATCATCCAAAACACCAAAGGTCACGTGGTGGGTCCAGAGCAGCCGGCTGGTGGCGACCCCTTGACTGGTGAGGCCTAAAAATGTATATTTTTCTAATCAATATCAATATGTAAACGTAATGAGGCTTAATGTACATTTTTCTCAATGTTTGTTTTCTCTTTATTGTCAGGAGGAGCTAGGTATATCCCTGGGGCTTCTGATGAAAGGTCGGCCTTTGGAGCAGACCCCTTCACAGGTACCAGGATGTTCATTTAAAGATTTGTCACGCTCTTACAACCACAAGAGATGCTTTTTTCACAGCTAAGTTCCCACCAACAGGCTCTGGTCGCTACATCCCGGGGTCCGGTCCCAATCCAAGTGCTCCTGTTGGTGTAGCAGATCCCTTCACAGGTGAGTGATAACTAATGGAATGTCTTACTTTTTGCACATTGAAGTGATAAACTAAACCAGCTGGTAAGTAAGTACTAGGCCTATGGACACATTTCTCCTCAATAAAATAAGGTAGAAGACCGCGTGTTTTCATGTAATCTATCTATCTATTCTGCAGGAGGAGGTGCCTACTCTTCAGCGGCTCTCAGACAGAAGACAACCAACATCTACTTCCCCAAGACTGATGGTGTGACCTTTGAGCAAGCCAATACACCACAGATCATTGGTGAGCATTGTTTTTAAGTGAAGTGGCTAGGACATAGTAAAAGGGATGTCCATAAACCATTTAGGAGTCAATATTAGATTCAAAATCCAATGGTAAGTTGTTGTGACGCTTTGTGCACTGTCAGTAAAATACCTGTTTGTGAGTGTTTTGCTGAGCTGTAAAGTTAAAAGTTGTATTCAGATTATTTGTTGTTTATTCTACCAAAAGGCCTTTCCCTCAGTTCATTTACATTTACTTGCCATATCATTTCAACAATGCCTTCTTCCCTATAACAGCCAAGCTGAAGGAGCTGAATGGAGGTGCCCCTCAGGAGCACCAGCTTTCCGAAGAAATCCTGGAAAGTGTTGAGAGGCTGCTGATGTCTGTGTGTGAGCCCTGCTCCTCCAAGTCTCCCCTAACCATCCAACAGATCAACCTGCTCTGGAAGGCCTCGCACTGGCCAGAAGGTACAACAGAACGCTTTGTTTTAAGGGTTTTATTTCTTTCTGTTTTAATGTATCTAAGTACTGAAGGAGGTCAAAATGCTTTAGCAAAACTTGTAATATGAAGATCAACTTTATAAACAAATTAGACCGTCACGTTTCGACCTTTGGCCTTCATCAGGGTCATCCTGTTTTAATGTATTTGACATTTTTTGAAATCAAGTATTTTATTTTCAATAGCAGAGGTTAAATTGAATACCACAGTAGATAATTTCCCAATACAGGCGCATCTTCTTTGTCCCTCCATTCTTAAGCCCTTCCCACTCCTAACTATAAGAAACATTGGTAGAAATTTATCTTTAAGACTTGTATTTAAATGTTTTGAAAAATAATTTGATTTAAGGTTCTTGAGTTCCAAACGGTTTACTTACCAATCTCCCCTTTCCTTTCTCCTGGACTCCAGACATTGTGTTTCCTGTCTTGGACATTATGAGGCTTGCCGTGAGACACCCCCAGGTTAATGAGAGCCTCTGTGGCGAGGCAGAGGGAGTCCAGTTGTGCAACCACCTGCTGAGCCTGATGAGGCCTGAGGGGCGTCCTGCCAACCAGATGCTAGCCCTGCGGACTCTGTGTAACTGCTTTAGTGGCCGGAACGGTCGAGCTCTCCTCATGGCTCAGCGTGAAACGGTGCTATCACGTGCTGCTGAGTTGGCCTCTGTCTGCAATAAGAACATCCACATTGCCCTGGCCACTTTGGTGCTTAACTACGCTAGTTGCCTGCACAGCCAACCAGATCTGGAGGCAAAGGCCCAGTGCCTGTCAGTGGCCAGCCGAGCTTTGGAGACCATTCAAGACAAGGAGGCTGTTTTTAGGCTGCTGGTGGCCTTGGGAACAACTGTGGCCTCAGACCAGACAGCCAAGGACCTGGCTCGCTCCCTGGGGGTCAACTCTCAGATTTCCAAGTACTCGTCAGTGTCTGATCCGTCTAAGGTGGCTGAGTGCTGCCAGCTAGTTTTAAAAGAACTACAATGATGTAAATGATTAGAAGAAAAAAAGAGCACTTGTTTCTTACTGATCTGCTTTATCAGTTGTGGTGGAGACTTAAATAATTGGATGTTCTACAATAAAAAAGGAGAAATTAAAAATCTGCATGAGCGAAGCCTTTTTTATTACTGCTGATCTATAGATACATTAGTCTTGGGACCTACGGGTACATCGTGATAACAGCATGTTGTGACAGTCCAGATGGCTAGATGAGAATGCTCCTTGCAGGTGAAACACTTTTATATGAGATACAAAACAATAATGTAGCTAAGCTTGGTAAAAGTCCATTTCCATTGGTTTATTAACAATTTAAATCAGCCGGATGCTGTAGACATGACAAAAGGGCACCATCTTCACACATTTGAATGATGTGGTCTTCTCATAACTAATAATTATATGATATATATCTAGAATTTTTTTAGCACGACTAATATAACAATGCAGACAATGCATTCGTTGAGAAATTGTATTCTGAGAGCTAAAAGATGAGCAGCTGTTATAATTTCTGAGTCCTTTAACACGGTTACAGGTAACACAATTAACTGCAACTGTCTTTTTCTGCATTGCAAAAATGTTTTACAGTGGAATATCACATTAAAGTTTTTCATACACTGCTACAAGGTGGTATGTTTAAATTGGTCATACAAATGTACCGTAAATGGGACGCCTAAGTTCCTTTTTTTTTTTTTTAAAAAAGGAACAACTTGTGTATATATCATGTTTTTTATCACTATAGTTCTTCAATAAAATAAATAGTCTGATCACTTCATAATGCCTGGATGAAGACTCCACCATTTGAATTTATAAATTGACATGTTTGGGATTTGGACCCTTTACCTTTGCATCCCCTCATCCCTGAACAGGTAGTCCAGACAAGTTTTTGATTCACAAACTTTTAGTGATTTGTAGATTCATGAGAGCAACCCATCCGGGTGCTTTGCCCAAACGACGCCGGCCCCGCCCCAAAACTGCAAGTATGAGCCTTTAAATCTGATGACCTGTGATGTACATGGTTAATTTTACACCGTTATGATGTCAGAAATGTCACATTTTAAATGTTTATATCACTGGCCATCAGATTTAGGCTCATACTTTCCGTTTTAAAGTACGGTTTTTATTTTTTAAGACATTAAATCGGTAAAGACCCCAACTTGTCCATTAACCGCAATTCATTCAGATGGAATGATTTCACCCTAAAGGGGGCGGGGCCGGCATCGTTTGGTCAAAGTACCCGGATGGGAGGAAGTACTTCATAACAACATCCGGGTGCTCATTATAAAAATTGGCGGTCGCGGTTGTTGCTTGTAGTCCTAATACTCTGACTACAATTGGGGGAAAAATAAGCTTCAACAAATGTGAGCGCATACTAAATGTAACCAAATCGATAGTTAAAACAAATGTTACTATAGTTGTTTGGTTTCTGTTTGTTTGAAAACAGCTTCTTTAATGTATGTGGACAAACTTGAAACAAAAGTTCGGAGGCTAACTTTGTCGCTAGCAGTTTAAGCTAGCTGGTTATCCGTGAGCTTTTGATCACTTCGCCGGATTTACCTCCCGAATAATGGCGAACCCGATGTTAGTGCAGAAAAAGAATGGCAAGTATTTGTGGTTTGCTCTTCTCGGGCTCGGATTTCAACCAGACACTGGGATGTCGTCAATCGCCGGCAAAACCAACATTAACATCAAACACATCAACCTGGGACCGTGAGTGTGCTTTACTGATCATAACAACTCAATGAGACTCATGTGCATGTTAGCGGTACTAAACTCCTCAACAAAAAGAAGTTTGGAAACATTAATTTGGTCACTTCAATAATGCTAATTGGTGTTGTATTGTATATCTTTGGAAAGCCTGATTAGTCACCTTTACAACCAGTATAACTTGTAAAGATCGTGCATGTTTAATGTTTCACTGAAACTTTATCAAAAAGTTAAAACAGAACATAGATATCGACAAGCAATTGTGTTTTTCTGATTGTTTGCACTGCTTATTTAGTCGGTCTGAATGCTAAAATCGTCTGTGAATTCACAATTTAAAGCTGATATTTAAATAATAAATTAATGCCCACGGAACCCCCTTAGGAGGTTTGGATCCATCTCACCTTTTTCATTCCTGATGAGTTTGCACCCCTGTGATTAGTCACCTTTACAACCATGTTTAACTTGTAAAGATGGTGCAATGTGAAACACAGCTGTATGTGTGGGTAGAGCACTACACTTCATTCATTGAACACTGTCAGGGACCTCAGTAGCGTTTGGATGATCCATACGAGGCCACAACAGCTTGGACCCTCCTCTTGGGGTGGCATCCCATTCCTCAACCAGGAGTGGTTGTGTTGGTCACGCCCAAGATGATCCCACAAGTGCTGTCAATCATGTGCCAGTCATACACCTGTAACTAACACACACACACCTGGCAGCACTTGAAGCGCCAATAGAATAGAATTACTTTATTGATCCCAAACTGGGAAATTGTGGCGTTACAGCAGCAGGTTGTCCAAACACACAATATGAGTAAAAAACACAATATTAGCAAATCTAAACACATATAATATTAAATACAAAGTAAATAAGCACTAAAAATATCAAAACTAAGAATGTGAATATATACAACCAGGATTTAACTAAGCATTCCTAGTCTTAAATAGGAGGATTAAATGTAAATGTGCAAAAACAAGAGTCGTAAATGGACAGTATTGACATAAGTTGAAGTGCATGAGTGCAGACATGTTATAAGCAGAAACTATACAATATAACGGAGTAGACAGACAAATGAAGTGAACATGAGTGCAGGGATAATTTGTAAATTTAACATGTGCAGAACAGATTACAGTAAGGAGAGACGATATTATCATGATGACAGTTCTCTGCTCGCATGAGGTGAGCTGTTGTAGAGAGTAGTGAAATTGCAGGGGATTTTGGCCCTTTTTTTTTTTTTTTTTTTTTTTTTTTTTTTTTAGAACGCTACTCACATTTAGCTGTGCTGCTCATTCCACGAATGCACGATCCTTACAAGTTATACCTCATTGTAAAGGTGACTAATCAGGCTTTCCAACGATATATAATATACAACACCAATTGGTATTATTAAAGGGGCGAAATAAGTGACCGAAGTAATGTTTCCAAACTTTTTTTCGAGGAGTTTATATTTCATTTAAAGTTACATTGACGTTGTTATTGACATGGCTCTTGATTTTTAGCTTTAGTCTAACTTGGTTGAATGTTATTTGATGGCAAACAGGAATATGTTTGACAAACCAAACAAGGACGCCTTCTACATAGTGACACATTTCCTGTTGTTAAAACTCAACCCATCACGATTCAATGAGGCATTCAGGTAAGGGAAAAAAGGAATGATCAACTATTGACATTCATTGGCAACCGTCCCCATGACAGTCCCTAGCATTTGTGATTATAATGAGCTTTTTGTTTTGGGTTAGGCACTGCTGGCCGGTTTTGAATCAGAAAGCAGATGTTGAATTCCGCAAAGTTACTTGTGCCTGGCTACGAGAAATAATGGTAAGAAACCCCCCAGCTATGCACTCAACATTTGGATAGAATTTACATCTATTCTCTATTTGTTGCCTTTATTTCTTTTGGCTTTACTTTCACTCGTGTGCTTTCCCCTTAGAAGCTTACCTGAAAGACTTTTGCGCACAGCTTTTGTAAAACCATAAGTGAAATAAATCCACATGAAATGAAGGTAACATTGTATTATGATAGATATACTATTTATTTAGAACACCCATCTGCAATGAATAAATCAATATTGCTATTTGCTCTTGTCATGTAGAAAATCATTTGGGTGAACTCTGCATCATTCTGTCTTGTGTTATATTTACTGTGAAATGCAGACATGTTAGCAATCTCTAGCTTGAGGCTAATGCTGTCTCTCTTTTGTTGCAAGAACAAATTTCCTTCCTAAAATATTTTTTATTCTCAAATGCTGCTTCTGCCATCAAGTATTCCACTAAATTTAATGGTAAGTTGACCCTTTTTTTTTTTTTTCAAACTGTGTAGGATGAAACTGCAAATGCAGGATCCAAAGTGGTAGCATCCTTGTTCCTGTCACCTGGAGGTCCCAAGTTTGTCAGCTTGATGCTTCATCTGGCCAATTATGTCATGCTGCAGGAAATGAAGACATTCACCACAGGTCTGTCCACTTAGGAAATCTTTTTTTTTTGATACCAATAGCTTGTGTGCACAATTTGTAGATCAGCATAGCAACATTACATTGTATTTAATGTATTTGCCTCTAAGTTAGCGTCAATTAATCTTGAATATTGTCATCATTAGATGACAGCTGGGTTCCTGAGGGTGCAGCTATGCCGGCTTCTTCCTTTGACATGGCAGTGAAGCGACACAATCTAACCCATTCCAGGTTTTTAAAAGCTGCCGTGGACCAGGATCGTTTTCTTCATGAGTACCAGAAACGAGCCCAGTAAGTCCTCGAAGTTCCATCTTGGCACCTCTGCAGTCAGAGATGATGTGTTATATTTACAGCTGTAGCAACAGGTTGTTGCAAGGCAGCCTTCTCTCACTACAGAAGCCTTTGGTTTTTATACTTGGCTTTGCATCAAATGTTCTGTCTTAAAGTTGGGCATTTCATTAAGACAAAAATATGAGCTGTAATAAAACATGAAATTTGGATTTTGTGGCAATTCCACATTGCAACCTATGGACAACCACTCCCCTCACCCTTTCATTTCAAACATGCAAGAGAACCTACTGTGGTTGCTAATACTAAATGAATTTAGTGTTTCCAATTAACTTAAGTCAACTACATCATTCCCAGTACCAGATATCCTTCTAGTTATAGTTTCATTTTGCAGTTTGTAGGACTTTTGCATTTTTGTGCGCCACAATCCTTTTCCCAGCAAAGATGGGACACATCGTTACCACGTGCATATTTGGAAAGCTCAGCATTTTGTTTATCTAAGGTAACGATGTTGTCAACAATATTCTGTTTGCTATGGTCTGCAGCTGATGCAAGAGCAAACATGTCAAAAGTCAAGGACCAACACCATGCATACTGCACTCATGCAGTTAAAAGTCAAGAATTTGCATTACTGCAATTCAAGAATTTTCTTATTGTTACCAAATAT